CCCCCTATCAGCACCCCCATTTCAAGACTTCCAGATACGCCACTGTGTGTGAAATGGGAATAAGCAGAGATGGATTCGGCGACCGTGGGCCGATAAGGCATTGTGCGCCCGGCCCTAGCAAGTTCACTTTGGAATTAACGCCATTAATATTATAATTATTATCATTATAATATTATCACAAATATCCGAATGGGCCTGAGGCGATTTGGAAGTGAAATGAATAATTCTGATAAATATTCTTGGCCGCCCTCCCTAAGGTCCGGGGTTCCTGGAGCTAGTGAAAGGTCATCGCTGTTTCGCCGTCCATTATCTCAGCATTGTCATCATCGGCATCATCATCATGATCATGATCATGATCATCATGATCATCATCATCATCATCATCGTCATCATCACCATTATTACCATCACCGTCATCACCATCGTTATCTTCATCAGTATTCCCTTTTTGTCTTTCTGTCTGTTTTTCTTTTCTTTTTTTTTTTTTTTTAAATTTCTTATCTATAAAAAGGAACCTGCTACTATCGACAGGGCGCAGTTATGCGTGTTTTTTTTTTGTTTTTTTTTTTGTTTTTTTTTGTTTTAAATTATCACGGGACTAGGGAAGGGGGAGTGTTAGCAATGACAACAAATTCTGGTTTGACAAAATTCAGCCTGGGTCCCTTACTGAAAGGAAAGCAAGCATTTGAGTCACCAATCTCCACAACTCGGGCACATCAACAACAATTCAATAATTCGGGCACATCATTTTTTTCATTCATCATTCGTTATTTTTTCATCATGCATTCATTCAATCAACATTTGTTTGCGTTGTTTCGTTTTATTTTATTTATTATTATTTGTTGAAGCGCCACTTATTGATTATCAAAAATTCCCATCAGCAGTCGATTACTTCATCTTTATTTTCGACTAAATATGCCTACTTTTTTTATTTTTTATTAAAAACATATTCAAGAGATATCCAGTATATGTTTTCCATATTTCTTGATGAGATGCCTGAGTGCTTCCATTTCCTTTTCATCAGGGACAGCTTTTTCTTCAGTAGCGTAAGTTCTTTGCTTTGACACTAGTGCCGATTGGTGCAACATGTTAGGGTTGTGTACATTGTTGTCCGATTCTCCAACATCATATTCAATACCATTGGATAAACCTGAGCAAACAAGTTTATACAACAATTACTTTAGGCCAATGTTAATGAAAGTTAATGAAAATAAAAGTAAGCACAGTATATGTTTTAGTCAAATGCTTTACATATTATAAGCAGATGCTGCTAAGCCACGCCGAAAATTAAAATCTATTTAAAACTAACTACATGGTGGTGGTCCCTATATCCGGAACACTGCGTCGGCGATTCGTATCGTACGCGAACGACTGTTTCCCATGGTGAATGCCACCAAGATTAACAAATGGTGTCGCGTCGTGAAGTGTTCATGCAGAATGCAGATGGATTTGTCACCCGGCCGACGGTTTTTTTTTCCGATAAAAAAAAAATTATTTCACAAATCAAATAAAATGACGTCATAATCATGGGAAAACGATAAAATCGTTTTTGCTACTACGATTTTATCGTTTTCCCCATGATTATGACAACATTTGATTTGTGAAAATATTTTTTATCGTATACATGATAAATCGTTATCGAATTGTGCTAGTGTGTGAAAACCTTTCTTATTTCTTTTGGGCGAGTCGAGTGGCCGAGCGGTAAGGCAGGAGCGCCGATACAGCCTTAACATCGGTGCTGGTTCCAGCCTCTCCTCGCCCATGGTTGGGTTGGTAGAACCAAAGTCGTCTCGGGTAAGGACTTAAAATGGAGGCCCAGTGTATACACCTGGGGGCTCGTGTGCACTTAAAAGAACCCATTGCATCTTTCGGAAGAGTAGGGGGTTATCCTGATGTTATGGTTCATTTCAGTCCCTGTTGTTGTGGAATGGTGTGAACATGTATCTACCATGTAGCGCCAATTTATTGCTGCTTCCTACCTTTACCATTCCCTTTCTATTTTCTATATGAGCAACTGCTTGTTAGCTTTTATCGTTGATCGCAGGGGTGGCGCCAGCGGGGGGTGTCCCCACCCCCCGTCGGGGAGAAAAAGCATAATTCGTCATGGTCATGTAGACATAAAAACAATTTTAAAGTGTGGACAGAGTTTAAAACCGCATTCGAATCGGGTCCGATTCGGAAATTGGACACCGCGTTTCCGATGCGCTAAACGCCAGAGTCCCTATTCTTACACACTGATTCGATTTTCTCATCGGTAGACTGCTCATCGGTGTGAATGCTGCTTTTGGGTGTCTACTACTGTATTACTAATCTAACAAAGCGTTGACGATCGTCGACTGACGCGATTCCACGAAAATGCTACGCGCGCAACGGATTGCATGCTAATCTGCTCAGTCTGCCATCGACAATCCAGACGGCGTCGCGTCGTCAAGTGCCCACAGAAAGCAGAGAAAGTTTCGTAGGCCCACGGCAGCGTGTGCCCGACCTAAAAGGATTTGGAAATAAAGGATTAATAGTATTGCCTGTGATTGTTACACATGAATACCTGGATGCATATGGGCGTCAGCCATTGCCAACATCTCTTGGATCTCCGACTCTTCAACATCTTCTCCATCGAAATCCTCTCGCACAAATGTGGTCCACATGTGTGGTTTCTGATAAAGGGCATTGTTTGGGGTTTCTTTCTTATTCATGTCATTATGGTAATCCTGCCATGGAATGTCTTCACCAGTTACAGTATGATGCCGTTGACTTTGGTCCCAATAATTGTTCTTATAATTCATGTCATGAGGGATTAAGCTGTTCTCAGGATCAAAGTCAAAATAATCTGTATTATAATTTTGGTCGAATTGCGACGCCGGATACATATCGTCATATTGCATAGTGTTATACTGTAGATAACTTGACATAGGCCTAATGTTGTGACTTTTAAGCCTTACTTCAGAAGGTACGTTTGAACTTGAAATTGTCTTAGCTTTGTCGTGAATAACGTTAACTATTTTGTCATTGTTAAGATCAATATAATCATTGGTATTGTCTTCGTTGATTACAAAGCTCTCTGAGAGAGCTTCAGTTGTAAGTCCTTCGTCGTACTGTCTGAATGACGACAACGAAGGTCTATTTTCCAGTGGCATTTCTGCATTATGGCCAATGGTGCTGGTTAATGCTGCATTGATATCCCACAGCGTCTCAGGATTATACTTCTGATTTTGTTGAGGACGTTGGAACAGACCCTGTTCTTCATTACTGTTCTGATAATGTTCAAAGGCATCATTAGGTCTATTCTTTGTTACCTGTAAAAATGAATGTTATTTTTAACATTGAAATGAAACAAAGGTGTTCCAACAAGAATATTTTTTTTGTAATAAACATAGGCCTACGCTTTTTTGTTAATTTTATTAATTAATTAGTGTCATGTTTCTTTAAAATATTTTTTTTGGGGCCAAGCGACACAGGCCACAGGCTTAACAAGGCCTAGGCCTATATATGGCTATACATATTGGGTTGAATTTATTTGGTGCTAACCCACGAAAGTCTGAAGACTTATTTCCAGTGAGGTCCTCCTCCTGGTGGTGATCGAGCAGAGGCGGATCTGGGTTCAAATGTAGGGGGGAGGTAAACATTTTTCCAAAAAAAAAAAAACATTTTCCAAAAAAAAAAAAAAAAAAAAAAAAAAAAACCACAAAAGGGGAAAAGTGGGGTTTGATTTTAAGATGGTGGGAAATGAGCTTTCCCGACTTCTGATGTGTCTTTTAATGACTTTTTAAGTTCTTAAAAATTCAAGGTTTTCCTCTCTTGAAAATAGTCAGGTACTTTTTTTCTCATTCTTATTACAGTAAACAGGCCCTATGTTTGTACCGGTATACATCAGAAAAAAATGAGTAGTTGCATACGTATTCTTTTTTCTATGAATCGATGAACTCCCCTTCCCAAAAAAAAAGGGGGTCGGGGCCCTTCCCATGGAAAATTTTGATTTCTAGATGGCAGGAAATGAGCTTTCCCGGCTTCTAGATTTACCATTGTAATTAATCGTGTCCTGCAAAAGTAGGTCTCGAATTTCTTTCTTTATTTTATTTATTTATTTATTTAATTATTTATTTATTTATTTATTTATTTATTTATTTATTTATTTATTTATTTATTTATTTATTTATTCATTCATTCATTCATTCATTCATTCATTCATTCATTCATTCATTCATTTATTTATTTATTTATTTATTTATTTTTTATTTATTTATTTATTTATTTATTTATTTTTTATTTATTTTTTATTTTATTTTTTCCCAAGGGGGAAGGGGGTGTCAGGACCCCTGACCCCCTCAAATGTACCAATGTCGAGAGATAATCCCCTTACTCTTTTTCAAAGCGTGTACTGCGTTCTTTACGTGCAGCTTAAACATCTCTTTCGAAAGATGGTGCCCTTTTTATATTTATACAGTATTTCAGCCTTTTCCAGTAAAATACTAAGAGAGTACACCCGATGAAGTAGACGGGACCCAAAGGATCTCCACAATTCAGCGGGCACATAGTGGCTCCTACCAGTTTAGCCGACTGAGCTATGCTGCTTTCAAGCTTCAATGTATTTACATTCAAATCAAACAGCAATACATAGGCCTAGGCCTAGGTATGTTCTCAATAAAGGAAGCTAAGGAGGTAAACTCACGTTTATCGGTACTGAAAACACACGATGAACGACAATGAAATAAAAAGCCACATACATTGGTTTGTATTTGTATAACATCTTTTTCACAGATGTAACACAGTTGGATTTGTCATAGGCCTGTGCTCATTATAATAAGGCTGATCAGTGATAAAAGTACTTATCGAAAGGCCTAGAATAGAATCTGTTATCGTGGTAAATTTAGGATTCGAAAATTGCAAGTTTGTTCCTTCGCGCCTAATTTTCTTTCCGCGTATACGCGTCCGATTACTTGGCAACGATTTGTATAACATGGTATAAAATTACGGTATAACAACCACAGTAACTAATGGTTACTCACAAAGTAAGTTTAGCTTTATATTTGAAATAAATGCTAACAAAGATAAGGAAGGACTTTTTTTTTATTAATATCTATTTTGTCTTACAGATACGCAACACAATGACGTCATAGTAAAGATAACAATCATTTGATGAAGCTCAATTTTTACCAAACCAATCGATAATATATTTGCAATGAATATCAACCTGACAGAAATTTGTAAAGAAAACCCTGTGATATCAGGATTCAATTTAGACAACCACCCAGGTATTATATCATACTTGAAAGCGAATCTGAAGGACGGACGTGACGTCCCGACGACAATTTGTGATCTTTTGGCAGATTTTATAGACGATCAAGTTTTCCAATTTGAAAACGCTGAATATATTGGTCTAGGTAGATCTATGATTAATTCAGAAGTATCGCAACGGATCTTAAAAATCCTCGGGAAGGTTTCTCTGGAAACCCGTTATGAAAATCCAAAAAATGGACATTTGCTTCCAAGTCATGTGCTTCAACGACATTTTCCATCATTCACTGAACTCCAGGCCAGGCAGTACTCCTTTGATTTTTTACGACGACATGAAAAGGAACCAAATTATTTCATTTTTTCCAATCGAGTTATGCAGGACTATGTAATAGCGATGTGGTGTTGCAGTAGCTTAGAAGATGCGATCACGAGTAACCTTCACATCTCATCAGCTCTCGAACACTGCCTCCAGCTATTACCAGCAACCAGTAATGTTTGTAGTATTCTGGCAGGACTTATCGCTAAATTCCATCCAGAGAAATTACGTGGATATCTGAGAACGTTAGTCAAAGCAAGTAGTGTAAATGACATTGCCGAACACGATCTGCAAATAATGATGGTTGAAAGTGTTTACGAGGCTAAGGGTGGCGACCTGTGCGCTATGGTCGAAGAACTCTTGCCTACACTAAGTATTAGTATAAAAAATAATCGTATCCACCATCTACCGTATGTTGTATCCGCTATTGGTTACTTTGTTCAGCATTCGAATTTCCTTTCAAGTGTAGATTTGAGTAATGCTGGAATTGATACGTCCATAGTCCCCTTCTTTACGAGCCACATTGTCGATGAAACCCCAATTCAGTCAATGAATTTTCGAAACAATAACCTCGGACCCGATGGACTCCAATCCATAAATTTAGTACTATCGCTAATGACGTCACTTATTTATATCGAGTTGAGTGAATGTAATATTGGTAACAAAGGTTTTAAGAATCTCGCGAGTTCGATAAAATACATGCCTCTTGTTCATCTCCGTGTACAGAAAAATGGAATCACAGACGATGGGTTTATTGTCGCTGTCGAGAACGTGTGTTATTGTGACACACTTGAACTAATAGATGTGTCAAACAATTCCATTACTAATAAATCTACTGTAGCGTTTTCTAAGAAATTGTGTCATTTGAAGAAATTGCGAAGTTTGGACATGAGCGAAAATCTGATCTCTGATGACGGGATCAGTGCAATTGCAGTCTGCCTACACGAAGTACAAAACTTGACTTTCTTACAATTGGCATCAAATCGAGTGGGATTAGAGGGCGCTATGAGTATTGCTGAAAATTTGCACAAAGTTCCTAAACTTACTCATTTAAATTTAAGCGGCAATGAAATACCTTTACAGGGGTTGTTCGCGCTGAATAGTGCCAGGAAAAACCATTCAGTTGCAAATAATTTAAGGATAAGCGGCCAAAAATCGTCGACATGCTTCAATTCGATTGGATATTCACCATTATTCTCGACTTCAATGTCGTCGCTGAAAAAGATGAGTGATGTCGATCTTTACGAGAAATGCGAATCGATGTCTGAGCTTGCACAAAAATCGGCGCAATCTTTTCAGCAACGACTCGCCGTTAATGATGCTATGAGTACTTTAGACGACGCTATTGAATACATGACCAACTCATTAAAACGTGAAAGTAAACTGAGAAGAACGCAAGTTTGGAGGGAACTTGAGGAAGAAACGTTGCTTGATGAACTTGGCAATGGCTCACTGAAAGCAAGTGTGCAATTCATCAGCAGATCCAGCACTCTGGACCGCGACATCAGAAGCAAGAAAAAAGAAGAGCAACAAGAGGAATGGAAGACGCGATCATTAGATCGCATGCGAATGAAACGGAAAGGATTGAGATTAGAAATCAAGCCGCATGCTATTCAAGAGGTTTATGAAACTTAGTTCAACAATTTTGAAAATCTTGTGGCTTACACGCATGTAACCATTTGAAGTATCTGACGCCTTTCTTTGTTTTGGTGGTTACTAACCTAGTTATTTCTGTCCTACAAACTGGATTCAATTTTGTGAGAGACATATTATATTTATAATTTTCTAGATGACAAAATTAATATTTTATGCATCAATAAATAACTATTACATTTTATTGCATGAATTTCATACACTATGATGGTTTCACCTATTTTAATTCCGTTGATGACGTAGACATAAAACAGCTGGTGAAGCTTCTTCTTATCGAGTCACTACGTAGTTAGTGTATGATCTTGCTCACGTAGTGTGGTAGAAGGATTCGCAGGTAGAAGTTAAAAGTTTACAAAAATGAAATTGTGAGACCTCGTACAATTGGTCCAGGTAATAGACAAAAAAAGGGATACTGTAAAAGGCCTACCATAGAAGAACAGTTCACCTGCAATGAAAACGGTGCTTCAGAACAAGTTCAACAAGTGCAGGATTTTTAATGTAAAGGAATGCCTTTATTATTATATTTAATTTTAAGACAATGGCCACTGAACTCCCACAGTAGACGATAAACGAATGTACCACATTCTGTACAGAATTCTTCATCAAATTGAACATTTGTTATTAAAATTACTTTTACTAAATTTACCGTCATGCAAACATGTTAGAACCTAATTATGGATTATCCAAAATTGTATTTATGATACTGTTATTATACAGTGTTTTTCAATCAGGGGTGGTGCCAGGATTTACGTAACCCGACGTGGGTTCGATATAACCGGCGGTGTGGGGGTGTGGCGGTGGAGCTATCTTTCCGTTGAGAGATAAGTGGCCGTGGTCGGGCGTCACTCAAAATATTCCGAATGTGGTTTAGGGGGCAAAAGCCCAGAAAAATAATTACAATCTAGGGATTTCAAAGGCTTATTTAATAAATTTTATAGTCTATAAATATGTTTTTTTTTTCTCCTCAACTCCACCCTCGCTGCCGCTGGCGCCACCCCTGTGTCCAATATAGGCGTACAAGGTTCATGAATAGTCTGGTATCCATCCTCGATGTGCACATTTTCCCGCCAATTGCAATATTTGTATTTGCATTCTTGCAAATGGCTTTAACTCAAACGATAATTTTATAACGATTTAGTTATACGTATGGCATAGCAGGGTTATATCATAATATATCTGGAATTGCAGGGTAATAATGATATCATATTAATGATATATTATTGATTAATCGATATAAATAACTGATTAGTCAAAAGTCGATGCCTTTTACATATAAAAATATATATATATATACATGATGGTATAACAAACTGTACTCCTGGGTTCAATTCCTGTCACAGCAGGACTTTTTCTCACGACCAAAACCAACTCCACTCCCTATGCCTCATAAAAAGACTTGGTTTATAAAGCATCATTCTCATCCTGTAAGTGGCAAGTGTACTTACTGTTGGATGTGGTGGAAAATTTAAGGTGATGGGGTTAGCATTCGTTACGAGTAGCTTCCTGTCGTGGAAGCTCGTCCTAGGCAGGAATTGTAATAGTACGGTGTAGGCCTACTGTGACACGCCATTAACCTCTGAAAAATTTAATCATCCGGACTGGTGTAACCCCTATGAGTTCTCACTCGGTCAAGCCAGGAGCCCCAGACCTCAAAAGGCCCGGAACATAAATCGGCATTTTTGCCTGTTGCCGGATAATGGGTCCAAATCCGCCTCTTAAAGAGCAAAAGGATATAAAACATTATACACCATTCAACGTCAATAAACCTTGAAGCGGATGCAGATTTGTCCCACTACTCTACTTCTCCGTCGGGAAAATCCTTGCCATCACTAAAATATAGTTGTAGTATTATAATATTGATTCGTGTATCCGACATTTTGAAGCCTACCAATCGTCACAAACAATCGTTGATCCAGCCAGTCAGTGTGTGAGAGTGACTGAGTTAGTTAGTCGGCCGCTCAGTACATAATTTTGTCAAATCAGTCAGTAAATCAATAAATTAAAATCATTCAAAAAAGAAAATCAAGTAACCAATCAATAACATAGCGGCATATAAAAATCAATATCAATTTATTACACGCAATAATGATTCACAAAATGACGTCATAATCAAAAAAATTACGTTAAATTAATCAGTCAACACAATTTAAAATACATCTTGTATCATATTATTGTATTATCTTGTATCAATATAATTTCAAAGGGTTTGTCGGAGTATTATTTAGACGTATATGACGGAGAAAGTCTACCTATATAGAAAAAAATCATAAAAATATTAGATATAAATTAGTTTCGAATAGCAAAAACGCTAATACGTTTTCTAAATAATAATAATATACGGTACGAGATACCAACTATTAAGCTACTGTAGTGTCATTTGACAATTATCTTACACATTATAATTTCCATTTTTATAATTAAATGCAAACATATTATTGATTTAATATAGTTTAACTGTTATATAATTAACTACATATCATTATAGTATAAAAGTGAAAAAAATCACAAAAATTGAAAATATTTAAATTTCAGTATTATGCACCTTTATATAAATTTACATTTTTTAAATTGAAACTATGCTAAGCTCGTCATTTTACACAGAAAAAAAATGTAGTGCTAGTATTATTTTGGTCAAAGATCTAATTATTGGAACAGCTTTTATAAGCGATTCAGAAAACCACGAAAATGAATAAAATTTTATTCTTGCCTAGAAAAAGAATGTTTTCCGCAAAGCATTTAACTTCGCCTACGTCCTAGGCCGGCAACTGTGTGTTTGGCATAAGCAGACTCTTTGAATTCTTATTTCATACTATTTTATTTAGAGAAAGTTAAACTGAGACAGTTCCATCAGTTATATTATTATTATTATCCATATTAAAATTTCATTAGTTTCATGTTGGTGTAATATTTAAATCATACCTGTTTTTCTACTTACGAAATTCTCGTAAAGCAGAGTGTGCTGTGACAAATATAAATGAGATCGACTTAAATTTTACTAATGCTGACGTAACTGTTATTCGGCCAGCAAAAGGAGAAACACCACTGGCGTCATAAAACCCATTAACAAGCATTACTAAAGTATAATCAACGCAGACCGACGATTTTAATTTTGCTTATAATGTTTGCAAAGTCTCTCGATATATACAAGAAATGTAGATATCTACAATTAAAATTAATATATCAGCTAAGTAAATGTATAGGCTACTAATAAAAATGGTTGAAATTTTAAAAAGATGTTCTGGGCGATTATCATCAAGGATTTTGTGCCTTCAGCCAATCGAATGTAGGTTGAGCGTTATTATTCATCCATATTATATTTGCTTTTGTCTTCTCAATACTCTGTTCATACGCACGAGCAGCAGATCCAAAATCTCTGTCTATTCCAAACGCTTCCAACTACAGAACAATACAAAAATGAATATGTTATAGTCCACTATATTCAGGCTTCTGCAATTTAAGTTATTAAATTATTTTCCTCAGTAATAAATATTTGAAAGCCAGGCTCCAGAGTAAAAAAATGTTTTGATATGTTGTACAACTGAGGGTTTTTGATGAACAACTTAGGAACGGTTAATGAGATACAGATGTTTGAATATTAAAAACGGGTTGAAAAAGGGTGGGTTAAGCCCCTTTTCCCCAGTTTTTTAATTACCCAAAATCTGTATCTCATTATCTGTTCCTGAATTTTTTCGTCAAACAACCTTTTGTGCCTTAGAAAATACAACATATCAAAAACGTTTTTCCTCCGGCTTTAAAAGAAAAATGATATTACTGGAAATTGAAATTGAAAGCTAAATACTGTATTTAAATATTTGTAAATGGTTGTAATTATCAATCAGTCATCATAAAAACAAAAACAAACCCCCCCCCCCCAAAAAAAGAAAAAAAACAACAACAACAACAACAAAAACAAAAAAACACAGCAATGATTGTGTTTTATGTTTAAAATCGACAAATCCAATAACAATCAGGTTACGTGGACAGGTGCTCAGAGAGGGCTTGTCACTTTTAAATGTACAGTATAATAGGATGAGCATTACCTCTGCAAGGTCAAATTCTGTGTTAAAATGCTTAGTTACGCTGGAAATCAGTCGGCTAAACGAAAATGATCCACCACCATAACTGCAAAAAAAAGAGAGCAAAACAATATCCGGGCGTTACAGAAACGTAACCAATTAAATGCTAAGGATTGAGCGTGGCAAAAAGTTGGGGTAAAATGTTTGTTGTGTTTAGCAAACGATTTCAGTAATTAAAAATAAAAACACAATAATACACACCAGAAACCGTGCTTTGGTAAATATTTATTTAAACACAACCATCATCTAAGTAACATCGTAAGTCAAAATGGAGGCCTAACTTCTCTGATGATATAAATCTTCAAATATAGACATATATCACAAAGTTTCAATATTCACCGATTCATAATTTATTATCACATATGAGGATAAAATAAATGTATGAACTACTATTAACACGACTTGGTTCTGAAGCCATTAAAGAACCTAGTGTACAATAATTAAACATAAAACAGAACACTAGCGATAACAGTTAACGGCAACGTATAAAGGTTTTATATTAATCAGGTAGGCCTATATTTATATTTCTTATCAGTAACCCCCTTTTAGGTTAAATCTGGGATTTATTATATAGAAATTTTCAAATTTTTAGTTGAATAGCTTAGTGGTTAAGATCACTGCCTTCCAATCCCAGGGTCATGGGTTCAATTCATGTGACATCACAATCTTTCCTCCGACTTAAACAAATCCACTCCCTATCGAGACAATTCACGTTTTCTTGCCATTCTTTCACAGCAACCGCGTTGGCTTTCATCCATTTTATGTTGGCTTTTGTTTTCTCCACTGATTGCTCGTAAGTCCGAGAAGCTGACACAAAATGTCGGCCTTCTCCGAATTTCAGCAGCTATAATTGCAAGAAAAGAGAATATAACTCATTTAATAGGAACTTGTTTCATTGAGTTTATCGATATAGTTTTCAATATTGTTTGAAAGTTTGCATGGTGAAGAATGATAACAGCTAACAATTTCACGTTATAATGACGTTACAGTTTAGATATACATACGTAGGGCCTATGTATAACGACTAGATAAGATTGCAACAACGTTGTGTAAACATCATTTTCTGACAAACACAGCGTTCGCGAACGTTATAGCATTATTTTGTGTTTGCTGAGAAATGCTTTGCATTACACGACACGCAGGTAATTCTGAAAATAAATGTTGCTTTTGTTGAGATAAAGTTAACTGTTCTTTTCAGAACTACCAACGTGGTGCATCGGAAGCATGTACGTCGATATAGTCCTACATTCAAGTTTTGTATTTATTTTTTTGTATACTGCCAGGTAAGTGTGGACGAAGAGTGGGACAGGAACATGTTGCATACCTCCTCCAAATCATATTCAGTATTGAAGCGAGACAAAACTGACCCGATCAATCTCTTGAATCTAAATAGCCCAGCATCAAACCTGAGACATAAAACAATAATATTCAATTTATTAAAAGTATTATCAACAAGCTATCGTCACTTAAAATTCGACGTAATTTACTGATTTGACTTTAAAAAAAAATTTAAATGCTTTAATGTCAGTTATGGTAGTTACCTTACCTCATATTTGGTATATCTGTAAAGCCCAGTAGACCTAAATGCTAGAAACCTAAATGTTTAGTATTAATAAACCTTCCTTAGTTTCTTATTCATTATTCAATATCGCTAAAATAGGTTTAATAACAAATTATCAAGATTATACATAGCCTATTTATAAAAGTACCATTAATATGTTTTATAATGAGTTTACAAATTAATATCAAAATTAATTTTACATAAAATAAAATAATAATATCAATAACAATAGCAGTACTAGTGGTAGTAGTAGTAGTAGTAGTAGTACTAGTAGAAGTACTAGTGGTAGTAGTAGTAGTAGTAGTAGTAGTAGTAGTAGTAGTACTAGTAGTAGTAGTAGTAGTAGTAGTAGTAGTAGTAGTAGTAGTAGTAGTACTAGTAGAAGTACTAGTGGTAGTAGTAGTAGTAGTAGTAGTTTTAATAGTTGTTGTAGCAGAAGTAGAAGTAGCCAAGACATACTCACTTTATGTGTTGAATTGAAGTTCGTTGATTGATCAATAATCTGAAGATCTTCTACAACATTTTCGTGAAGTTGCAGCAGAACAAGTGTGCTTGACGGTGAATAATCAGGATACCCTTTTTTTTTATTTCGAGTATTTCGATAACTGATACAGTATCTGTGATTATGTGTAACTGATAACTCATTCACCTCATCCTGCCACTTAACATTCAAGATACTATAGGCTAGTTATTGTCGAAAATGTATTAAATTTACTCAAACGCTGTTTAAGGTTGTGTTACTGTTATTGAATTGCCGGCTAAATAAGTGTTTCGTAGATAATGATGTATGGTAAGACTGTAATGCGTATAATATACATATATATATACGTAGGGACCTATGTATATATATTTGGGGTAGAAAATGCCTGTGCTTGTTGGATTAGGATGACACAATGAGTATAAAATATGACTAGCTATTTATGAATAAGTATATAAAATTTTATAAACAACTCAATATTACAGAGATTATATTAATTGCATAAATCAATTAATCAAATATAATATCACAGGCAAATATTATCGTTAATCAGTCTAATTCATTTTAGTTATTATTATCAGGGGCGGATTCAGAGGTGTCCAAAAGGCGGGGGCCGAAAGTGGGGCCGGGGGCATGCCTCCGCGAAATGTTTGTGTTGTAGAAATTTTCTTTTTTTTTTCTTTTTATTCTTTTTTACCCTTCCAAAAAAAAAGGGGGGGGGGTGGAGTAGGGAGGCCAAGGCTGGCCCGGCCTCTCTAAATCCTCCCCTGATTATCATTTAGATATGTATAAGAGAGGGCTGAGTTTACTATGATATGAAGATCAATTTGATATGTGATTATAAAAGTATGATTCTGCATATAAGGTGACCATGTCTATGATTTAACTAATACTGTACGCGACTCCAAATCCAGCGAATTATGACTAGACTGCGGTTAACGCATTGTATACAATAAAATAAGGTCATGCTGATCATTCTTATTAACAATTCCAGTGTAAAAAAGGAATGGGCATTAATGGAACTGTTCCTATTTGTGAACATTTTTTATAATTTTAAAATTGTTAAATTAAAATCGGTCGGTTGGCATTTTTTTTTTTTGACTATAGCTTTATGCCTAGTCCTTATTAATTCTATAATTCATTATCAACTATCACACACTCATTACATTTTGACTGCTAAAGTGGACCACATTCATAGTTAAGGTATCAAATATATTATTAAGTTTGCAAACATTTTGAAACACATCATATAAGCATTTTGGCCTCCTCCTCCTCCTTGATATAAATATATTATTGCAAAATAATTGCTGCCTTTATTCTTCTTCTGAAATTGTTGGTTTGTGAGAGGTTTGTAGGCCTACAATTTCATTTGCGTTAATTGTTAATTTACTAAATTGTAATCATATGCTCCAGTAGGCCTACCTCGATCATCAATCGGTGTTGTATAACAGTAATGTTGTCATTTATTAGGCCTATATATATTTTCTATTTTACATAATTAGTGATTCATAATTTGATAAGTAGTTACAATATGAACTTACTCATTTCTGAAGGTTTCCCATTTGGCTCGAAGGAAATCCCATGCAAGGGCTCTACCGACATAATTGTCTGATACATACTCAATGACATAGGTGGCGTCCTGTGATCTAACTTTCGATTGGTCCAGCGAAAATTCAAGGTACCTAGAAAAGAAAGAAGCATAAAACATGTCTTGTAAAATACCCATTATTTTTTTATCGATAGGCCCTGGGGGAAACAATGCTACTTGCACTGATCAGGTCACCCACAGGGGGTAAATGAGAAATAAATAAAACAAAACACATGTAGGCCTTCCCTAGGCCTATTCAAAGTTCTAAAACACACATGCCTTTCAGATGCGCACTGAACCAAAGGCTTAAACCTCAGGGCCTATTCTGGAAGTAATATTGGTCACGGAAAGAATATATTTTTTGGACTATATGTACATACTCATGATATAATACGGTTAATGAACAGGAACTACATAAACATTAGAATGATTGTGTAGGCCTACCTGCTCAATATCCAAGGTTCCTGGCTGCATCCAAGTGCGTACAACCATTTTGATTTTTCCGACGAGTCATCAGTCGACAGGTACTTTTCCCAACCAAAGTCCCACTCTTCTTGACCTCCTTCCCGAATGCCGTTGCAGTATGTTAGAGATCGCAAGTTTGGTGATACACTATTTGAAAAAAAAAACAAAAAAAAACATTACAGGCGCAGTGGTTCTTCTGTCAGTATAGATACCCATGTTGCTCTTACGACTCTAAACCCAGTGTTTTGGTTTTTTTTTCGAACAGAGCAATCGAAGATCGACAATATAGATAAGTATAATATTAACGAAAATGCAAACTGACCTCTCAAATTGCGTTTGTATGTGAAATGAAGTTTTTAAAAGCGGAGGTACTGTAACACACTAATCGTTGGTAAACTTACGGATTCATTTCATTTCCAGCATTCGATGATGTCATATATTCAGTATAAAGACGTCTTGCTTCTAATAAACAATCATCATTTTTATAAGCACATGCTGTTGAAAGGGCATTAATACGGTTGTATCTGTTGCGAAATAAAGTCAGAATTAGGCTTAGTAACAAAATACTATACGTATAAAGAAATACACACAGCACGGTTAAAAAGGTCACACATATCATTTAATTTGGATATTGGTATGGATCGTTGCGCTGTTTATCATAAACACATAGACAGTGAAAAAAGCAAAGGTTAAAAAGGTTGAAAATGCTTATGCAGACTATAACGTATACTGACTTAAAAGCATGTCAAAGTATCCAGAGAGGTTGGGAAAAGCCACAAATTATTAAAAGATTAGTGAAACAACAGCAAAGATGGCTTAAAACAAGACGGTGTTCTCTACGCGTTTTCTGAGAGACGGCATTCAAGTAAACCGAGACCAAAGTTTGCAAAAGATATACCAGGATTTAGGACATGATTACTAGACTGTGTTTATGACGAGAATATACGTTTTTAAATATTTCTCTATTAATGCGCTGCTTCCCACAGACTCAATGTTAAAATATTGATGTTAAAGGAGTGCAGAAGTTTTCGAGCTTTTGTAGAAATCTTGATAATGTTAGCTACTCATTGTTGGATTACTCTGTTGTAGATTATGTTATGATTAGGCCGAACATGGACAAACTTGCTATTATTAACTTTATATATGTTCTATTGCATTTACAATTTAAAAATACAAAAACATTCTTACTGTTCAAGGTGAGTTCCGGTGTCATTCCAACCCACTGAGTTGTATAGATTCAAAGTCAAATCTCGCATATATGTCTTAAAATAAAAAATTGCAGAATTAATTAATGTTCGCCCAGAATGAGACAAAATTCGGAATGAATTCAGTGAAGCAATCTGTCTAGATTCTATTTAAAAAATTGTTAACAGTTAAAAATTAGAAAACCAGGATGGTATTGCATCTCTTCCATTGGCGTTTCCATCAACACCTTACTCACAGAGGGAAATTGCAAATTAAAAAATTGTATTAATTCTGTGTTAACAGAAATAATTATGTATCACAGAATTACTACTGTAAAAATATTATGTGACATAATTAATGCTGCGTTAACAGAAAGAATTATGTACCACACAATTAATACTGTCAAATTATTCTGTAGTACAGAACAAATTATGTACTACATAATTTTGTTGCTGTTACCACATAAATTGTTCTGTTCTCACAGAAATAATTCTGTCCACAGAATTATTTCTGTACACAGAAAAGTTTGTCAGTAATAATTTTCTGGTACATAATTATTTCTGCAACAACAGAATTAAATACAGTATGTACCCATAATTGTTTGACAGTAATAATGCTGTGGTACATAATTATTTCTGAAACAGAATGCCTATTTAAAGACATAAAATAGCCCCGTATGTTTTTAGTAGGAGGAACTAGTTGCCCAAGACCACTTTTTATATTCAAGTTAAGCTTTTGGCTTATTTTTTGTTTGAGAACAAAATCTTATAGATAAGTAATTTGGAATGGTAATGCATACCTCAAGAGCTCCATATCCCTCGTATCTACTGAACATGTCCTGTACGTAACCCATTACGGTTAATGTAGCTTCCCATGGTAGATAGCTTAACTCATTTTTTAGAAATGTAGTAAGTCCAAGGGCGGTGACTTGATCAAGTAATCCAGCTCTTGCAAGATTAAAAGCGTCGTCGATGAGGGCAGCTTGGTTTTCATCTGGAAACGCCTGGAAGTTGTGATCTAGGCATTAGTTATTTATTGGTTATTTATTTTGTCATTTTTCTGGTTACTTTTTCTGCTCATATTTGTTTGAAATATTTATCTCTATGCTGTCACTGTGAGCAGCGTCAGCCCCACGTTGTAACGTTTTCAGTGTAAATCTCGGGCGCTGTGATGTGTGGTGGCAGTGTGAGTCTGGCATGGGCGTAACATGATCATAGTGTGGGTTTAACCTGGTGGCACTGTGGTTCTAGCATGATGGTGGTGTGGTCCTAACCTAGTAATAGTGGAATTGTGGACCTAGTATGCAGACAAAGTGCCTTTAACCTTGTGGCTCCGGTCCTAAGATGCGCCGTTAGTCTATTTCGTTGTGATATTGGCACTACGGGGCAACCTAACGTGCGAACGTGCAACCGGGTGGCACTATGGGCGCACGTGGTAGAAGTGTGTACCCGGCATGGTGGTATTGCCTGTTTTACGTGGTGGCATTGTTAGTATCGGATATATTCCAACAGGTTGGTACTCTGCCCATAAACTACAATTTATGGTACGACAACTTACCGACGAATTGGCCTCCAACTGGGATTTTAGAGCTTCCCAGTTGTCACCATCGTAGTTTACTCGGTAGTAGCCGCTCTGTTTTCGGTTAAGTATGTACCAGTCATCTGAAGCAGGGCTTCCAGACAATTTAATTGTTCCTATTTAGGAAACGTAGTTTATATAAAAATGCGAATATATTACTAGGAATAATTTCATTTCCTATGAATACTCGTTGTCCTGCCTGGTGAAACAACCTGATTGACTTTTCTATAAGATTAAGATGTGTTCAGTTTTTTTTCAGTAAGTGTGAACTTAGCTGTAATTTTATGTATGTCATTACTTTTCAACTGAACATTCGAAAGTCAATTGACAACTAAATAATACCGTTTCTTATTCTTCTGTCAAACTGATTGGCATAAAATTTATGGAGTTTTTGGTGTAAAATTCTGTAAAGTCAGCCAAAAATCTTCTGTTTCCCTAGAATTTAACTAGAATATAAGTATACTATTTAAAAAAGATAGATGAGACGTGTGGGTAATATCTATAGATACCTATGATTTCATTGGTTAAAATAAATACCGCATATTTCCACTTCAACATTGGGAGTATGATTCTTACCTGGACCTTTATTGAGCCACATATGCGACCACGACTTAGAGTCTGCATTAGAATGCGACACATCTACGTACCATTGATACCTGAAATTTCATTGCAATACAGTATTTATGTTGTTTTTGTATATCACGCTAAGATTATTTTTAACTATGTTTTTTCGTCTACTGTATATATGGTTACAAAACACAACTCTTCAAGGTGTCTAATTGCCTTGACTTTTAAACAAGTTATATTGATCAGCTGGTCAATATATCTTCTTTTTATTGGCAATTTATAGTCATACACAAAAACAGACGGCATGACCACACCATTTCAGTGAACGATGTACACAAAACGAGGAATTACAAATCACCATTTATATCACGTGACCCTCCATATTTATACATTTAACTTCATAATCTTACCCTTGATCCCCGTATTTATCTTCGACCTCCGATGTTGGGTCTATTAGGAAATGTGTCTGGTTTGCAAAGACTTCATTGTCGGTTCTTGTACAATTGACGACAGGGTAACCCATTTGGAGAGTCCATGTGTCCATAATTCGTTTAACATCGTTGTCTCCATAACCTCTATCTGCCTAAATGAATATGAAATATAAAATTAAATATCAGTGCCTTAAATAGAGATACAGTACTGTAAATTTATTACTGTATAACAAAAAACATGTACGAGCGGTTGATGGATAGTCATGGGACTGGGGTTTTGGAAACTATGGTTTCCATTACAGCGTCAAGATGCTTTATCTACGTCTGTCTCTCTTTCAATTATTATGATGCTTTTCTTATTATATTTAGAATCTTTTATATATAAATTAAAACGTTTTTCACTTGAATATCTTTTATGGTCATTAGACACTATACAATCATGTGGAGAATTTTTAGGCATATATCAGCATTCTCCTCCTCATCCCCATCATCACCATTATCACCGCTTCTTAACAAATCTAATTAAATTAATGCGGCATCAATACTTACTGATGTTAGAAATTCCCACAAATCATCAGACTCCGCATTACTGTACTTGTAGTGGTTTAAGTAATTAGTCAATCCTCTCACAAACACATCTTCCGTTAATATATCATTCAACATTCTCAGAATAGAAGCGCCCTATAAAAATATATATGAATTATGATATCGCATTATAACGTCAACGTTTTTTAAAAGGTATATGTTTTATAATTTATACTATACAAAAAGATATTAGTACAGTAATGCTTGGAAAATACTGTATGTTTAAAATAACCACACCATATTAAGCTATAACTATTCCATACATTCAAGGTAATTACACACCTTCTATAATACACCAGTGTCGATATACATGAAGAGTTTTAGATTACTTTGTGAGGATTTTTTGGTAAATATTAAATAATTAATAACGAATGCGCCTTTATAGGATTACAACAATTAATATTGTTAGTATGCTTTGCTCCTGTATGTATGTATGTATATATATATATATATATATACAGGAGCAAAACATACTAACACCGAGTTACTTGATGGCGACGCCATCTCAAAATCAGGAATGCGCACCTTCCTCCCCTTCGCGTTCGCACCTGTTAACTTATTAATTTATTGTAGTTTGTTAGTTTTTTAAAAGCGCCTTGAGATGGTTTTATTGTGGAAGACACTATAAAAATACAAGGCCATTGACCATTATTTAAATGTATTCATTATAGCATTACCTCCATGCTTATAGTAAATGGTTGGCATATTGCTTGAGTCAGTCATTTACGTTACCTTACTATATGAGATAGAGTCAAATATCTCGCTGATTTCTTCGGGTGTCCTTACAGGAACCTTAATGGGATGAGAACTACCGAGACCATCCAAGGTAAATACATACTCAAGATCCGCCACCACAAACTGCTCTTTCTGTATCACAAAAAAATATATCTTAATTAATTTGTAATAATATAGAAAAAAAATATTCCGAATTATCGACCCTCCTAAATTTTGAGGGTAGCATAAAAAAAAATTTAATTATTATTTTTTTTTAGTATTCTTGTTGATTGTTAATTGCTTTACCAATAAAGCACCTCGTTTCCAATGCCTTATTATTCAATTTCTTTGTGTAATAGCAGTATTTTTATGCCATTAGCACATCATACCGTAGGATCTATGTGCATAGCAATAATAACAGACGAAAGATGTGAAAAACTTCCTTAAAAGTGTCTGTCTCTACTTCTAATTTTATTTAAGCGTAGACTTTAATTTTATCTTGTACCATAGTTTTCCGTTATTATAGGAATATTTCAATAAATAATATGAAAACTATTACAGAAAAATAGGCCAAAATAAACAAACAGACATATTATATAACTTTACTGCAACAAATACACACATTCGTTCGTTCCTGATATTTGTTCTAGGAGGCAGGAGCTTAATGCGCTAACAAAACACTTCTTTGTAAATACGAAATATAATATGTGACAAAATTAGACGTCTCTGATTTAAAAAAAAATAATAGATTCATGTTTAGGAGGAAATTTGTATTAAATTCTGAGATATACTGTTTTCTAAGATCAAACATAAAAAAGGTAAAACTCATATTCATCTTCATTTATAAAAAAAATGTATACATAATTTGCATATACGTTCTTCTCTATGTCTCTTAAACCCAGCTTCCTTTCTCTATTTCTAAACTTCACAAGCTCAATCTAAATTTGTACCGTATAACATTTTTTTATAACTATAAAGAGAGACCTACCATCAACCAGCCTGGATGGATATGATCCACTCCAAGATACTCCACGTAGCTTGCGAATCCTTCATTCAGCCACAGATCGTCCCACCAAATTGGAGTAACAAGATTACCGAACCACTAAAAAAGCAGCAAAATAGAATGCTAAAAATACACAGTATAATAT